CTCTCTCTCTCTCTCTCTCTCTCTCTCTCTCTCTCTCTCTCTCTCTCTCTCTCTCTCTCTCTCTCTCTCTCTCTCGGCCCGTCCTCTGTTCACGATGAGCACGGATCCACGATGAGCACCGAGCACGAAAAGCATGTATCCACGATGAGCACGAAAAGCACGGATCAACAATGAGCACCGAGCACCAAAGAAAAGCACAGATCCCCAATGAGCACGAATCCACGATGAGCACGTATCCACGATGAGCACCGAGCACCAAAAGTACGGATCGACAATGAGCACGTGGTCATGCACCAAAGAAAAGCACGGATCCACAATGAGCACGAAAAGCATGTATCCACGATGAGAACCGAGCACCAAAAGCATGGATCGACGATGACTGCGTGATCATGCACCAAAGAAAAGCACGGATCCACGATCAGCACGTGATCATGCACCAAAGCACGGATCCACGATCAGCACGTGACGAAAAGCACGGATCCACGATGAGCAGCAAGTTCCCATCGAGCACCAAAGGAGAGTACAGTCTGAGAGAGAGAGAGAGAGAGAGAGAGAGAGAGAGAGAGAGAGAGAGAGAGAGAGAGAGAGAGAGAGAGAGAGAGAGAGAGCATGATGAGCACGTTGCGTGTCGTCGCCCGCTGTAGTGTGCCGTAGCGTGCCGACGCGTGTCGTCGCGTGCCGTAGTGACCGAGACGATTGAGAAGCCCGCCCCTTCGAAGGGCGCGCGTTCAGAAGGGCCGTTTGGGTGGGCCGAGCCGGTATCGCACAGCCCAGATTGCAGGCCGGTCACCACCTGCGGACGGCCCAGATCACAGGCTGATGAGAAAAGTTTCTCATCGGCCTGCGATCTGGGCCGTCCGCGGGTGGTGACCGGGCCGCAACCTGGGCTGGTAGATATGACGTTAGCGATTCTTATAGTATTGTAGATATATACATCATATCTAGTATTCATTCAACAACAAGTGCAGACTCGAGGATCTTGATAGACCCGGAGGGGAACATAGCCAACATATGCATTTAGACACACCCAGACAGTGAGATCTTCGCAAGGTGCATAAAAAAAAGACGGGGAAAAAACGAAGACCAGAGGTGAGCGATTAACTCTGAAAGAACAATGCCTTCTTAACAAATGAACCGACGAATTATCACTTTGTAAGATCGGTCATGAACAGGACTGAACGCACCCAGCACCCGTAACCAAAATTGCACAAAACCCGACTGTATTCCCAAGGGTGGATCCACGTAATATGGGATCGTTTCCCCGACAGCCATATCAGGGAGCATAGTGGCATTCCCTGAAGCGTTTTTCTGCCGCTGGCCACAAACTCACGGCTTCACCAAAGGGTAACACCTGCAGCATTGTGTGTGCTTGGGTAGTGCGAAAGCAGCAGAAGGTGGAGCAGATTGCAGATGGCGAAGAAAGGCGAGAAAATACAGGGATGTGAGCAAGGCTACGAAGGCTGGTAGTACGAAAGCGAAGACGAAGAGATTGGAGGAGGAGATGCTGAGATTTCAAAAGGAGAAGATGATGTTGCTAGAGAGAGAGGAGGAAAGGAGGGCTGCAGAGGAAGAAGCAGCAGCAGAGGAGGAGGAAGAAGAAGAAGAAGAGCCCCTTGAAAGAAGACGTGGAGAAGAGAGTGGGGAAGCAAGTGGCACGAAGGAGGAGGACAGATGGAGGGAGAAGAAGATTGGTGAATGGGTGGCTAACTTATCTTTGGGAGAAGATGAAGAGGCACAGTTATATGTGTCGCAGGAGGAGAGGGAGGCGTTTGTCAGGGCCCTGGAGCTGATAGAGGATCCCCTGGAACGCCAGGCGACAGACGATGAGAAAACGTTGGAGTGGAAGTTGAAGATGATGAGAGAAAAAAAGAGGAGGGAGGAAGCCAGTAGAATAGCCGGGGAGGTTGAGCGAGTGCGAACCGGCAGGCAGGAGTTGCAGGCCCAAATAGAGGTCTCTGCCAAGCTAGGCAAGATGATGAGCTTCCTGGAAGTCTTGAGTGAGGCCTGGCTAGAGGAGCACCAGGCCCGTAAGTGTCAAGAGGTGACCCTGCAAGCAATGTGATCCGGGTTCAGAGAATTTGTGAGCGACGTGTTGGGCCACGTCGGGTCCGAAATTAGAAGATTGAGGGATGGTGTAGACAAGTTCTGCGTTGGCGCCATTGAGACCGCCAAAGTTGTGGCCACAACAGAAACACGGCGCGTTCCCGCAAAGAGCCAATCAAGTTAAAATTCCCTAACCCATATAGCGGGAAGAAAGAGGAAAATTTCGATAACTGGGAGGCCAGTATAAATACATATGTCTTTTTACAACATATTGCCCCCGAGGAACAAGTCCTCGTCGCCTTCCACGCTCTAAAGGACGAAGCAGCCAGCTTCGCCAAGTTCCTCGCACTTGCTGCAGATTGCGAGCACAACATGATCGCATATTCCAGGCTTGCCCCCCTCGCCACTTTCCTCAAACTCCTACGCGAGAGGTTTGCTGACGTCACTAGAGGCGTCAGGGCCTCCGACAAGCTCCAAACCATCCATTCACGACAGTGGAGGAGTGCGAGAGCACTCAAAGCTGTCATGGACGACTTGGTAGCAGTCCGGACCACGGGGTCACTGAGACCCAGTTGGTTCAGTTGTTTTATCATGCCATGCCAGAGCCCTTATGAGGGCACTTCTTTGGCAAGACCCAACAGTCCAACATTACGAATGACGCGTTGAGTAGGGAGGTGGTCTTGTTTGAGGCCAAGTCCGTGCCAGTTTCCACTTTCTGGCACAAAGACTTGGACAAGGGCAAAAAGTGGAAAGGCCGTACCATCTCTGGCCAAGTCAGGGCCAAGGATCATCTGACCCTTACTTTAGACGAAGGTGGTACAGACGAGGTCCCTTACAGTCAGATTGAGTGGGGCCTCGAGGAGGAAGACAGTAGTGTAGGACAGGGGAGGTCGCAAAGTAGAGGAGGAGGCCAGGGCCAAGGGGGCAAGGCCACGGGAGGCCGAGGATCGGGCGCTCAGGGGGTTGGCAGCCAAAGGAACCGCCAAGAGGGAGGTAGGGGTCAAGGTCCCCCGCCAAATCGTCAAGGTCCTAGTCAGTCCCCGCAGAGACGAGGTGGAGGATCACCTCAAAGGAGAGAAGGTTGGCACCCAGGTTGGCCGCAGGGCCGGCCCTGGGAAGACCTGGGCCTAGATCAGAAAGTCTAGCAGCAACGTATGGAGCAGGGGCAGTGCATCTATTGTGGTGGCCCGGCCCATATCATCAGATATTGTCCTAAGTACAGATAGGCCCAATGGGCTGCCCAGGAGTCAAAAGGCAGCCGCCGGTAGGGGTTGCAACTGCCCCTACTATTAGGCCATGTGGGGAAACGAGCGCGCGCGTACAGGAAACTCCCAAACCACATGAGCCTTCGGCAGAGGTTGCAGGCCCGTGCCTAGTTAGCTGTCCAGAGACTGCTTGTGTCAGCGTCTCTCGAGGCACGTCCCTCACAGGCGTGGCAGAGGAATTGAAGGAGAGGATGCCTGCCTGGGCCAAACTGAAGAAAGATAGTAAAGGGCAGCTAGGGTTAGTGCATGTAGACGTGTTCAGGAGTAGAGTTGGGGCCCTTATAGACTCAGGGGCTACCCGTAGCTATATTAGTCGTAGAGCGTTGAAGAAGTTGAGGCTAGGATTGAAAGCCCAGAAGTTGGAAGACCCCATAGTTAGTGTCCTCGCATACAACCGCACGATGCGAGTTGAGGACTACGTAGAGGGAGTCCATGCGTATTTCCGCCTAGAGAAAGATGGGAAGGTGGAGAAAGTTCTCCATTCCCTGACTCTCCTCATACAGGATGACCTTCCGTTTGACATAGTCCTAGGCATGGACTGAGGAGAGGCAGCAGGGGCCACACTCCACTTGAGAGAGCATGAGTGTAGGCTCCCTGGCCCGTCTTGCGAGGTTAAGACTGCACGCCTATTTCATGTGTCTGGAGTAGATAACTCCTTGGCACATTGCTGCCTCAGTGCTTCCGCGTTCGTGCGATTGGTGAGAAAGGAGCAATTAGAGGATCAGGTCTTCGTAGTGTATGTTAGACCTGTCACTGAGCCTAATCAAAAGGATAGTTCCACGGATCCAGCCATTGCCAAGCTGTTGGAGGAGTTTAAAGACCTCACAAAGCCGTCGGTAGGAGTAGTGTCGCGGCCGATCCAGCATAGGATAGAGATAGAGCCTGGCAGTAAAACCCCTAAGGGAGCAGTCTACAGGATGTCCCCTAGAGAGTTAGAGGAGTTGCGCAATCAGTTGGACGAGCTCCTTGAGAAGGGTTGGATTAGGCCCAGTTCGTCTCCTTTTGGAGCACCGGTGTTGTTTGTTCCTAAGAAGGAAGGAGAGTTGCGTATGTGTATAGACTATAGGGGTCTGAATGCGCTCACAGTCAAGACTGTTGAACCACTGCCCAAGATAGACGATCTCTTAGATCGGGTGCAGGGTTGCAAGTATTTCTCAAAGATAGATTTGAAGTCCGGGTATCATCAGATAGAGGTCCATCCTGATGACCAGTACAAGACTGCGTTCCAGACTAGATATGGGCATTATGAGTTCATAGTGATGCCCTTTGGACTGACCAATGCGCCAGCTACGTTTCAGCGTTGTATGAACGATTTGTTTAGGCCTTGGTTAGATAGATTCGTCATAGTGTATCTAGGCGACATCTTAGTTTTCAGTAGGACCCTCCGGGAACATCAGAGTCATTTGAGGTAGGTCTTGGAGAAACTAAGAGAGGCTAACTTCAAGATCAATGCAAAGAAGTGTGAGTGGGCCAAGACACACGTTTTGTACTTGGGCCACGTGTTAGACGGAGATGGCATTAGGCCTGAGGACAATAAGATAGCGGCGATTAGAGATTGGACGACGCCCCGCACGTTGATAGAGTTGCGATCGTTCCTAGGCCTAGCCAACTACTATAGAAAGTTCGTGAGGAACTTCTCTACTATTGCCGTTCCCCTTCACAGGTTGCTCAAGAAAAAGGCAATCTGGCAGTGGGATAAAGATTGTACGTCTGCGCTAAAGAAGTTAAAGCGCGCATTGATAGAGTACCCTGTCCTCAAGGTAGCAGATCCGTCCTTGCCATTTGTCGTCACCACGGACGCAAGCCAGTATGGGATAGGCGTCGTGTTACAGCAAGACGATCGCAATGGCTATAGACCTGTAGAGTTCATATCAGCGAGGATGCCCTCAGAGAAGGTTGCTACCTCGACGTACGAGAGAGAACTCTACGCTCTCAGGCAGGCTTTAGAGCACTGGAAGCATTACCTACTTGGGAGGCACTTCAAAGTGTACTCCGACCATGAGACTCTTCGATGGTTGAAGACACAGGCCAAGGTCACACCTAAGTTGACTAGTTGGGCCGCTGAGATAGACCAATATGACTTCGAGCTCAAGCCTGTGAAAGGCAAGTACAATGTAGTTGCGGATGCTCTGAGTAGGAGGTCAAACTACTTTGGAGCCATAGTTCACTATCTGGACATAGGGCGTGACCTGCAAGAGAAAGTCTAACAGGCGTATGCGCAGGACCCTATCTATAGTGACCTCCTCAAGAAGGTTAAGGAGGCCCCAGAGACCGAGTCAGATTACCGCACTACAAAGGGGTTATTATTTGAGAAGACTAATGTCGTAGATCGCCTGTGCGTCCCCAACAGTGAGGAGATCCGTAGTTTGATCTTAGGGGAATGTCACGATACAGAGGGACATTTCGGTTGGCAGAAGACTTAAGCCAATATTACGCACGCGTACACATGGCCAGGAATGAAAAACGACTGCATAGAGTATGTCCGCAGTTGTAAAGTCTGTCAAAGGAACGAGACTACTACGCGTGCCCCTCTAGGTCTTCTCAGACCCTTGCCTATTCCAAACCAGCCTGGAGATTCAGTCTCCATCGACTTCATGGATGTTGGTGTCAAGAGTAGGCACGGCAAGCGCCAAGTCATGGTTGTAGTCGATAGATTTAGCAAGTATGCTATTTTTGTCCCTTTGCCTGCAGAGGCACGTACAGAGTTAGTTATTCAGAAGTTTTTCAATTTCTGGGTTAGCAAGCATGGCGTCCCATTGTCTATTGTTAGTGATAGAAACACCCGCTTCACTAGCCAGAACTGGCAGGAACTAATGAGAGTCTATGGATCTAAGCTGCTGATGTCATCTGGCCGCCATCCAGAGACTGACGGTCAGACCGAGCAGATGAACAAGATCCTGCAGCAAGTTCTGCGCATGTATATTAGACCCGATCAGATCAACTGGAACGAGATGTTACCCAAGGTAGCCGGTGCATACAATAACAGCGTGCATTGTCCACTTGTCGCACTCCCAACGAACTGCACAAGTCCTCTAGACCGCGTAGACCGTTTGAGGGACTTAACCGGGATCGGATTCACAGGCCACCGCCCGATACCAGGGAGTTCGCGATACAGCACGAGAAAGAGATAGCCACTGTTGTTGAGAAGCTCACGAAGGCACAGCACCGAATGATAGAACAGGCTAATAAGCATCGTCGCCCATCGCAGTTTCAGGTAGGCGACCTGGTCTGGGTCAAGTCTAAAGAGTTTGCGTCTGAGGAGAACATCTCGCAAAAGTTACTGCCCGCGTATAGAGGACCGTGGCCAGTTCTAGAAGTTAAGGGCGTAGAGGATGGGCCGTCCTACACCATAGAGATCCCAGCACACCTCCACACCTACCTTGTGTTTCATGCATCAAAGTTGCTGCCATGCGTCACAAGTCAGCAGTTTCCATCTAGACGGTCCATGATCCCTCCAAACATGGGCGGAAGATATGACACTGACAGCATTGTAGGTGAAGATGCGATCAGAACAGGAGGTAGAGGTCGTCCGCAGAAGCAGTATAAGGTCCGGTTTGCATATCAGGAACCGGAGGATGACCGCCGGTTCACTAGAGCAGAACTTCTAGAGACAGCTCCCGATATAGTTAGAGCCTACGAGAGAGATCAGAAAGGTAAAGGTCCTGCCTTGGACTGAATTATTCTCGGAGGACCTCAAATTTAGGCCGGCGGGAGTGAAACGGTATTCACCAGTTCGCAGTAGCTGATGCAGATCCCAGGGCTCGATCCCTAGTCCCCACCTTACCTGTGTACAGTATCTGTGTCAACCCCTAGAGTTGAACCTGTGACCTGTGTATTTGTAACAGTCGGTAGGTTGTCGTAGGGTCCATAGGTAGCAGGGGTTCGATCTGTAGACGTGTCGAGTAGGAGTCCCAATCAGGTCTAGAAGTCGTAGCTGTAGCTTTCTCGAAGAGTCAAGGTCGTAGCTGCTACAGTCCAGAAAGGTCAAGGTCGTAGCTGCTACAGTACCGAAAGGCCAAGTCTACGGCCTTCCGGAAGGTCCGAGTAGTGGCCTTGTGGAGCTTCCCACATTTAGGCTGAGGCAAGTGGGCAAGTGGTGAGGCAAGTGGTGGAGTCTACCCGTGCTGAGTCAGCAGTCCCAGTCCTAGGCAGTCCTGGTCCAGTCAAGCAAGTACCGCATGCCATAAGCGACTTGTGCAAGGAGGTCTGCAGTGAGCCCAAGGACAAAGTGGGCGAGAGAGAAGAAGTGTAGCCATAGCGATAGGCTAGTAGCGTCCATAGCCGCCATAGCTGTAGTTAGAGTTCTGTGTGTGTGTGTGTGTGTGTGTGTGTGTGTGTGTTCAGAGTATCGCGTGTGGGATATCCAGGGTGATCCTGTGTATGCGAACGGAGAGTTGTGTGGGCGCTGAGTCGCCATAGCCATAGTAGTGAACTTGAATCTGAACTGTGTTCTCGGTTACCATATCTCTGAGTTCTGAGTGGGCGCTTGTCGCCAGTTTGCTGCGCACCTGTTTGCATGCATGAGAAGTGTGAATGAGAGTGAGTCTGATTGCAGGAAAAGAAAAAAGGAAAAAAGGACAAAAAGAAAAAGAAAAAAAGAAAGAAAGAAAAAAGGGGGGAAAAAGGAACCGAAAAGATGGAAACAGAAAACCAAAAGAAAGAATCACAAGACAACTCGGCTGTTGTCATTTCTCTTATTCGTCGTTAGCTCAAAGTCTTTCAAGCTAAGCCTCGCAAGGCTGCCGAATCGGCATTGTGCGCGAGGTCATCAGCCATTTAACTTCACGGGTTGTGCGCTGGCTTGTTCACCAAGGGCCACTTTTTGTGGCAGTTGCATCAAATCAGTAAACATCATAAAAGAAGAAACAAATAAAAAAAACTCAAAAAAAACAAAAACAAAACAGAGGAACCGTCGGTAGAAATGGAATGGTAGCATGGGATGGAAGCCTCCCGACACCGAAACGACTTGGGCCCAGACTTGTAGTCCTGCCTGCATGGTCATCTCATATAGGCTCGTTTGGTCGTCCTCAATTCCTGTATGCTTGTGTGTGTGTGTATGTGTGTGTGTGTGTGTGCGTGTGTGTGTGTGTGTGTGTGTGTGTGTCTGTTGTTTTAAAAGACCCTAGATTCTCTCTCTCATTCCCTTCACAAATCATCACAAGCCATCCATAACGAAAAAGTATAGATAGGCAATATAACAGAAAATGCAAGGTTGGCCATGTTTGTGTGGTTCAGCGCCAAGTGCCCACACACCCGTCTGCCGCCAAAGCGGCAAACTTTCACATATACATATGTATACGTATATATTTCAAACCATAAGGGGATGGAGGGCAGAAGGCAACTGACCTAAGACAGACGACTACTCCAGCAAGAAGGCACCGACCCGACCGTCTCAAAGGTCCGAAGAAACTTGGAGAGCCTTCCGCATCGGCCCACAAAACCAAAAACTCATTTACCAAAAACAATCAAATATAACAGCATTGGCATTCCCGACATTCATCTCAAACTACACACTCCCGTCACTCCCAAAGAGGAGGAAGAAGATAGGATACAACTTACCTAAGACAGAAGGCTCCTCCAGCAAGAATGCACCAGACCCCCCTGCTAAGGGTCCAAAAAAACTGAGAAAGCCTTCCACGTCGGTCCACAAAACATACATTCCCCCCCAAAGAGGTGTTGTTACATCTTCGACGCCACACGGGTCCTACCAGACCCAACTTAGGGCCAAGGGGACACAGTAGGGCCTAACGGCCCAGACTTGGGGGTACAGCAGGCCGAAAGGCCGCATTTTGGACCAGACCCGACGGGCAGGCCCAAACGACATTACCATTTGGGCCTGGCAGCGCTCTTGAGGCTGCCGCCCGCCGGTCTGATCTGAATCGACGATCTCAACGGTTCAGGTCAAGGCCAGGCCTCGCAGCGTTGAGGCCGGCCTCGTTTCCACCGGTACTTAATACCGGCCCAGCCTCATTCTGAGGCATCGAGCAACTGGACACTGCTGTAGCGCCAGTTCGTTTCGGTTCAGCAACAGGAGCAGCGCCAGCGCTATTCTTAGCGCAGCGTGGAGGAGCAGCAGCAGCGCAGCTAGCGCAGCAGCAGCGGCGAGCGAGGAGCCAGGCAGCATCCATCAGCAGCGCGGCGGCCATAGCCACTTTCGACCTGCAGTCCGACTGCAGCATAGCCAGGTACCAGGAGGCGAGGGGGTTTCTCCTCCCTCCACGGCCCCAGGCTCCTCACCTCCTCCTCCTCTGCCATCTCTTCTTCTTCTTCAGACTTCTTCTTCTTCTTCTTCAGACTTCTTCTTCTTCTTCTTCAGACTGGAGACTTGATACTAGTTGGACAGAGATCAGTGTTGGACTACGGTGGTAAGAGGCTGTGGTACTTACCGGATTCGAGACTTGGAGATTGTTGGGGTTGATACTCGGCGGCATCACAGATTGGACACCGGTTACATTAGGACTCTGTACCTCCGACATTGGTGACTTATTGTCCGCGACATTTTGATCTTGTTCGATGACATTTGGATTACCATATCGGTGACCTACTGGATTCTATCTCGGTGACATCTAGCGCTGCCTACATCTCCCACCTCATTCGTCTCTTCTCCCACCTTTCATCTGTGTACGTGTGTACGGGGCCTGAGCATCGTCTATGATTGGCTCAGACCCCCACCATCTCACAATTGTTTGTGTGTGGAGTGATATCTGTGTGAGTCAGTCTAGGTGAGTCAGTCCATTTATCAGACTTCCGCTGCATACATGCTCATCCTATATTGGTTGATCTCTTGGTTCTGCCCATACTTGTTGAAGTACTCGCAAGTATGCAACAGGTGGCCACCGTTAAACATCCAAACAGCCCATGCTCTAAAGCAGGGCAAAGAATTAGGTCGTGTATAATCAACAAAACCAACAAGACATATCCAACCACAAAAAGAGAGAATAGCTCGCTAGTACGAGCCCAATCCTAGCCGCTCAAATCTGCCAAGTACGTGTGTGTGTGTGTGTGTGTGTGTGTGTGTGTGTGTGTGTGTGTGTGTTGTTTTAAAAGACCCCAGATTCTCTCTCTCATTCCCTTCACAAATCATCACAAGCCATCCATAACGAACAAGTTTAGATAGGCAATATAATAGAAAATGCAAGGTTGGCCGCGTTTGTGTGGTTGAGCGCCAAGTGCCAACACACACGTCTGCCGCCAAAGCGGCACACTTGCACATATATATTTCAAACCATAAGGCGATGGGGGACAGAAGGCAACTTACCTAAGGCAGAAGACTACTCCAGCAAGAAGGCACCGACCCGATCCCCTCAAAGGTCCGAAAAAACGTGGAGAGCGTTCCGCATTGGCCCACAAAACCAAAAACTCCTTTACCAAAAACAAACAAATATAACAGCATCGGCATTCCCGACATTCATCTCAAATATACACTCGCATCACTACCAAAGAGGAAGAAGAAGAAGACAACTTACCTAAGACAGAAGACCCCTCCAGTAAGAACGCACTGACCACCCCTGCTAAGGGTCCCAAAAAAACTGGGAAAGCCTTCCACGCCGGCCCACAAAACATACATTCCCACCAAAGAGAACTTGTGGCCACCCGTAAACATCCAAACAGCACATGATCTAAAGAAGAATTAGGTCATGTATGTGTGTGTGTGTGTGTGTGCGTCTCCCCACTGATCTAGCTCACCCTGCCTACCGCTCGCCTGCTGTCAACCTCCATGTCAGACTATACGATATTCTGCAAGTGAGACATTATGTAGATTCTCTAGAACCTGGTCCTTGTTGCCTCACTCTGCTGTGCTTCCTCCGCTCCGCTTCCCTCCCAACCCTTCAACCTCACATCTCCCCCCGGTTCTCCTCTAGCTTCATCTCCCATTCCCTTTCCGTCACCTTGATTATAAACTTTATATCTTCTTCCTCTCCCTCCTTCGTATCTCTGACATTCAAGGGCTCCTCTTCCACTCTGTCTTCAACACCCCTGTCATGACACTTCTGCCTCTCATGCCATCTGCTGCCCACGATCTCTATAAGGCTCCACCTTACCCCTGACTATTCCCTTCTAAACCTGACACACGTCAATGCCCAACATGCCCAATTTGCTCAACCCAGGAAAAAAGGCTGGAAATCAACCCCGTCATCAATGATAGAGCGATTGTCCATTGGCACCGTGTCAACAGGTTGATCCATCCCCAAAATAGTGAGTTATATGTCTGCACACCAGCCTGATATGACAGGGATTCGGTTAAATAACGAGTACAGACACTGACGTAACATGGACCAGTCAAGGTACAAAAATAGCAGCACCAGCAATGAACAGTGAGGAGTTATCTTACCAGGAGTGTCAACGACGCTGATGTACCTCTCTTCAGCACCTTCTCTGACTGCAGACTCCAGCTGGCAAGTCGACGTAACAGACCTGAAGCACTTGGCTGATTTAAACTTCTTGCAACCGAGGATTGAATTTCCCGTACAACTCTTCCCATTCCCTGTCTTCCCTACAAGGACAATTGTCGTCCTTGGCATACTCTCCCATTCTGCACCGTCCATCCTCTCTCTCTCTCTCTCTCTCTCTCTCTCTCTCTCTCTCTCTCTCTCTCTCTCTCTCTCTCTCTCTCTCTCTCTCTCTCTCTCTCTCTCTCTCTCCTTGTGTGTGTGCGTGTCTCACACGCATACACAGGGGAAAGAACAGCAGCAATGAAGAACACACTGACGAATGTAACAGCAAAATTCAATCTGCCACACAGGTAGAGCTTCACGCGGAACACCTGTCTCTTATACACATCTAGATGTGTATAAGAGACAGTTGTGTGTGTGCGTGTCTCACACGCATACACAGGGGAAAGAACAGCAGCAATGAAGAACACACTGACGAATGTAACAGCAAAATTCAATCTGCCACACAGGTAGAGCTTCACGCGGAACACCAGAGTTTGTTGTTGCCACCTCTCCAATCCACACTCTATGACAGTTCTCAGCAACAGCTACATTCTTTCAAACAGCCAAGGTTGTCGCAATGATGATCGCCACCTCAGTTACACCATTTCCTACACCCTCATGAGTGTCCGCTGTGAGAAATGTCCAAACCTGCGCAGTGCAGAATCGACAAGATATCACTCTCGATGCCATCTCTTCTGGAGTCATGCACACTGCTCATGTATACACTTGGTCCTTACTAATCGCAATGGTGACTGGCGTGACCACCAGGAAAAACACCAGGAAATTTATGATTCGTGGGAAGAAAGAATAAAAGAGGAGGGAAGAAACAGAGGGAGGAGTAAGGAGAGACAGAGAGTAGGAAAGGCAGGTGATCATTCTTAGGGGAGAGAAATGTAAGATAGCGAAAAAAAAGTCAAGTTGTGGGAAAGACAGGTCATCATTCTTAGGGCAGAGATATGAAGGGCAGCAAAGAAACGACAAAGCGGGAACGACAGGTAATCATTCTCAAGGGAGAGTGCTGTAACTAGGTTACCTGTTGCAGCTCCACCAGCACAAGAAAAGATACAATTTTGCAAACGAAGGCAGAGAGCACGAGGGGTGTGGTGGGCTGGAGTTAGTTGGATAGCAACTGACCTGTTTGGTCAAATCTACTTTTACACTAGGCTGGGCCGCCGCCCCGCCGGTTGGGCCCTGGGGGGTCCGCCCGGTGAAACCGGGCGACACAAAAACACAGCAAGGAATTTTTTTATTTTTTTTTTGAAGGCGGGGTTGTGCTGCGCTACACTAGAGGGCCCCAACTCTGCAATAAAAAAAGTGAACTTCGGGGGGTGGGGGACGTGGGGGGGG